TTGGTGACAATAGCAAACAATCAATAATTAACGGATTTGGGATAAGTTTGTTTCTGTTATTGAAGGTGCTATTAATAAATTTGTACTAGTAAAGTATATAAATGAAAATGAAAAAAAATCCTTAAACTACCAAATGTTGTTTTAAATTCAATAAGAGAAAAAAATTTATTATGGAAAATGCTCATTAAGTACAGGGATAATAAGATATTTGATGATTTTAAGAAGGTGAGAAACAAAGTTAAAAGAGACATCAAGTTAATAAAGATTAATTATTTAAATGGTTTGGGTAAATTGGTTAAAATTAATCCTAAGATATTTTGGAAACAGGTAAATAATAGTAGAAAGGATAGGTTTTCTATAGATAGTTTGTATGGGGTTAATAAAGAGGAAAATAAGATTGTTGTAACAAATGAATGTGAAAAAGCAAATGTTTTGGCTGATTTTTTTTACCACTGTTTATAGTACTAGTAAGGGGGATAATGATTGCACACAGGAAACTGTTTTGTGTGAAGAAACAATTAATTTAATGAATGTGATTGATTTTGAACCACAGGTTGTTTTCAATAAACTGAAATTGTTGAATGTATGTAAATCGTCTGGACCAGATAACATTAGTGCAAAGATATTGTTTGAATGTAAAGAATCTATTTATGATTACTTAAGTTCATTATTTAATAGGTCTTTTGAAGGGAGAGTCATATCTAATGTATGGAAAGATAGTATTGTTACATCCATTTATAAAAAAGGAGATAAAAAGGAAGCTAAAAATTATAGACCTGTTGCACTGACATGCATAACATGTAAATTGATGGAGTCTATAATAAAGGATGCTTTGATGTCACATTTGATTGAAAGTGGTTTGCTGAATAGAAAACAGTTTGAGTTTGTTAAGGGAAAATCAGCTGTTCTGCAGTTGTTAAAATTGATGGATGAATGGTCTAGGGCTGTGGATAAAAGTTATGGGATTAATGCAGTATATACTGATTTTGAAAAGGCATTTGTTACATAGTAAATTAAAGATTGTTACATAGTAAATTAAAGGTTAGGTTGAACAAATGTGGGTTGAATGACAAATTGGTTGCTTGGGTTTGATGAATGGAAGAACATTGATGTTGGGTGAATGGAAGAACATTTCGTGTGAGGGTGAATGATGGTATGTCAAGATATTGTGAGGTAAAGAGTGGAGTTCCACAGGGTAGTGTGCTTGGGCCAATTTTGTTTTTAATGTATGTTAATGATTTATTTGATTTGTTTCAGGATGTAAATGGGGTTGCGATGTATATGTAGGCAGCTGATGCAAAGTTGTTTAAAATTATGAACTCAGATAAGGATAGTGTGGTATTGCAAAGGGGTTTGAATGATTTGAATGAGGTGTGTGTGCAGAATGATGTGAAATTGAATATAAAAAAAATGTGTTGTGATGAAGTTTGGTTGTTCTGTATCAGATAATAATTATGATTATAAAATAAGCTCGCACCCATTACTTTTTGTTGATAAAATTAAAGACTTGGGTGTTATTTTTGATACATCTTTGAAATTTATTGAGCATATACATTGCAATGTTAAGAAGGCATTTTCATTGCTGGGTTTAATAAACAAAATTTTAAAGATATTAATAAAAATGTTTTTATGTTATTATATAAATTCTTGGTCAGATCTCAGCTGAAGTACGCAACATGTGTGTGGTCACCATGGACAATACGTGAAACAGAAGCCATCGAAAAGGTACAGAAAAGGGCAACAAAGATGATCAAGGACTGTAAGGGAATGAAATATGAGGACCAATTAAGATTTTTACAATTGCCAACACTATAATACAGACGAATAAGAGGTGATTTGATAGCGATGTTTAACATGTTGAATGAAAAGGATCAACGAAGCTTGCCGGAAATATTGAGAGCCACCAGACAAACAAGAGGACATGAGATGAGGCTAACAGCACTGACATTCCATACGAACTCAAGAAAAAATTATTTTGTTAATATTTGGAATAATTTGAATGATGATGTTGTTAATTGCAGTGATTTGAATGAGTTTAAAAAAAAGTTGGATGATTTTCTTATGAATGCTAAATTTAAATACAATTGGAGAGCGGAGTTGAAAGATGACTATTCGTGAATGCTGTTTATAGTATTTGGATGATGGTATAAATGTTTGTTTTGACATGATTGTCTTTAAGAGAGAACAATATATATCATTGGTTGAAATTGGAATTTTTATGAAGAAATGTTTGCATACAAATATATATATAAAATATAAGTAGTTGAATTAATAATATAAATTTTTCTCTTATATTTTTGTTTATATTTTTATTTTTGTTTGATCTTTATGTATGAACAGATTATATTAACATATATTCATGTACATTGTTTATGCGTTAAAATTTTATGGTTAATTTTGTGTCGCGGGCATAGGGACATTTTGTCTTCGCCCATGTTTTTTTTTCATAATAATAATAATAATAATAATTATGTAACTAATGAAATACGAAAAACCATATAAGAAAACTCTCATTTAGATCAGATGTGCAGGGCCCCGAAATAACAAATTTAGTTTAGAATATTGGTTTGTAAGCTAAAGTTATACCGAGTCATTTCAATCACAAAGTAATACTGTAACAAGAATTATCAAATTTTTCTATACTTACATCAGGTAATTTGTAGAGCTTTAGTGTCCGTTGCATAGTCATATGCGAGAAAGAT